GAATCTTGGGACTGGAAGGAAAATGTGCTGAATGAGCTAATAAGGAACAAACAACATATGTATTGAAGTGTTGACTGGTAGGTGGATGGAAAACAGACAAGCTCAAAGTCTTTAGAAAAATCAGTACTTTGGAATGATGTTTTGTTGCTAACAGAGAAGCAAGTAAGACCTTAACAGGAAGAATTCTTAACAGGAAAATATTAATATCTGTGAAAATGACAGCAATGACAACCAAAATGAAAGAAGAAATTGTGAAAGTGGCCAAGACTTGTAGGCTTACTGGGCCAGAGTACAACAGTGTTGGAGATATGATTCTGCTGGCAGTTTTTCACATTCCTGTCTACAATTTTAATATATTTTTTTGTGCTGATGACTGTTTGAAAGACAACTTAATGATCTTAAATGCTTATTAGGTGATTTCTGTAATTATTGCAGACCTGTTCAGAGTAATCATCTGGAACTTCTTTTACAGGAACTCTTCTTTCCTGATTGTGCAGCTCAGGACAAAGAATTTTCTCCTTAATAGAAAAGTTCACTTAATTTATTCCCTTGCTGGGATAACAATTTTTATCATTCTCTCTCTAAGGGAGTATCTGTTCTTTTACTACACATTATCCTTTACTTGGTTGTTCATTTTCATAGAGAAGTAAGATTTTGTTTTGCAATTTAATTTGAAAAGTGGTTATGTATTCTTTATTTCATGTTATCCAATCACCTTGTATTTTATTAGTGAATGATTTTTCTTTTTTTAATCATACTCAAGAGTGTCTTTAAAACAAGTCTCTCATGAAGAAAACTCTCACTTTCACCTCTCTCCTTCTCAGAAACGCTGTTTTATTTAACAATTTTACCAAATACAGTTTCACAAAAGATTAGTGTAGCATTTTTATATGTAAAAAATTTACCTTTACCAGGGTAAATCAGTTCAAAACCTGGCTGAGCAGTAAGCCAAATAAATGTATTAATTCCTGACATCCTAATTTCCATTTTAGAACTGTCTGAGCAGCAGTAAATGCAAACTTTTATCTACATGAATGTTTCATTAGAATGACCTGGTTGATCGACATGATGTGGTCCAGATGATCTTCCTGAACCTCTTTTCTGTTTTTCCCCTCTCTCAGCATGATCCTCTCAGGTTAGTTGAGATTCATCATGCAGACTGGTGAAACCAGCACACCAACTGGCTCCAGGGCAGGAAGGACTACAGTGAAAAGAAGATTTTTATCTGAGGAATTTATCCTGACTGTGCCCCTCCAGGCTACTTCCAAAAGGATTGTTGTTCCTGCTTGCAGATGTGCCTACCTAAGGGAATCTCCAACTAACAAGAATTCCTCAGCCCAATCTCAAAACAGTCCTGACAGATAAAGAAACAGACCATGACAGATTTTCACCTGCATTTTTCTTCTTTGCTTTAAGCATCAGAAACCACTACATGTCTGAAGTTTAAGGATATTTACTTGTGTACTTAAAGATTTGCTTTTTTCCATTGTACTGCCCTTAGACTCCACTCAAACAGCACTGCAGGATGCTGCTACAGTACATAATGCAGACCTGTAAGAAGATGGCTCCTACTTCACAGAGTACAAACAAGTTCTCTCTGTCCATTCTCATGAAAAATTACCTTTGGAGTTTACATGGACTATTTGCATCAACTCAGACAAAGACATTGATGGGCCTAGCATATGCTTATTCATAGAAGAAACCATGAGCTGACCAAATAACAAACAGCATACAGGAGCTTAGTACAGAAGTGACTGTAACATTTGGTGTATGGATTTTTCAAGTGTCACAGTGGCTGTTGAGCCTAGAAAGAATGTAGCAGATTGTCCCTTCTTTCATTGATAATCCTGAGAAGAAACTTCTTACTTTCGTAAGTATTACATTAATATTTGTTTTATGCATGACTTCTCTGCAAACTGACAAACTCTGATAAATTCTGTGTGGCAAGTGATCTCACTCTATGTTGAAATATGTATTCTTAGATTACACATCCTTGCAAACACAAGTCACCAGAGAGAATGTTTAAGATACAGTTCTGCTGCAGCTGCAGGCTTCTGGAGAGGAAAACCAAATGCAATTATCCTCATGCTAATGGCACCACTCTGACCATAGAACAGTTCAGTGCTGCCCGTAAGTGTGGTGCTGCAGTGTCACAGCCATGCAGTACTCTGGAGTGGGTTGTGTTAGACGTGGCAAACTATTATTCTGTATTGCATAGAAGACAGTGGACAGGAAATCTGTCCTCTTAGAAATCAGCAGAAACATTTAATCTGAATCCTCAAGAGAAACAATGTCCCCTGCAGAAATGAACAAGACAATGAAAACTGACTTCTCTCATATCCCAAGGAATTAAACCTACAGAAACATACAGCAAAAATTGTCAATAAACAATGATGTCCTTCTTCCTTGCCCAGCAGTTTGAATGTTTTTTTCTGGCATTTAAGACCATTTCGAACAAAATAAACAAGGAAAGGGACAAATTTTTACTTTGTTTCTTACAGTTATTTCTTTTTTCAAAGCTATTAATCGGTCTCAGTTAAGTGGTTAAGAAGGGGCACTGCAGAAATCTTTCCTGAAATCTTTCCTGCACATTTGTTTGCATGCCCCTTAACTTCCACAAAATTGTTATGTGTGAAGCACAAAACATCTCATTTTCTAGGAGTCTTTTCTTAATTTAGCCATGTAAAAGCTAAAGGAGCTCTCTCTAAACAGAGATTTAGTGTTAGTCTATAGCAAATGAAGCGAGGAAAGTATCACCATGGACCGATTCCTTCCACCCTGAAAGAGATATCTAAGACAGGTCAGATGAAGTGCTGTAGATGTGTATGTTACTGCTTTAAAGCAGAGAAGTCTTTACTAGTAGTTTAAAGACCCTGACCAAGCTTTGGATGACTGGTCATCCTGATCTCAGCACACTAGTGAGGAAGTGACAGCCTGCAGCTAACTACCTGCTGATGATTTTTACCCCCAGGCCTGAAGTCACTCTTGTTTTAATGAAGAACAAATTGGGCTCCTGCCTAGGTGGCACAATTAATGGTTGAACCCTCAACATTTAAAGGATTACCAAAAAAAAAAAAAAAAAAAAAAGCTAAAATGTTTCCATGTATGAAAGACCCAGCTTAACAGTCACTCTTAGGCCTGGCACTGGTAGTCAGAGAAACACAGTCAGGTTTAGGCCTTGGTTTTTGCTGGCAAATGCAATCGTACATCTCTCAGCCAATGCACGAGCACAAATCTGGGCTCTAATATATTCCAGCAGCACAGCCTGGAAACACATGCATCAGAAATCTGGAGGCAGGTGAGCTGTGGCTATCACTAGAAACAGATAAAAATTTAAAACTTTATCCTGCTTAAATATAGTAGAAATTTAGGTGCTTCACAGCCAAGAATCCAGACACTAATGTGTTCCTAATCAGTGTCTGTCATCTGGATCCTAAAGGCAGCTTTTTTTCTGCTCTGAATCACCCCAATTCCATCATCATCTAGAGAGCATGTTTAGATTCTCTGAAAATCAAGATCCAGTGTGCCTTGCCATAGTGAATCCTCACAACATCAAAAAGGGCATTTGTGTCCCATCAGGACCCATTAGATTTGTGCCACGAGCACAGGAGAACGCTGGTTTCCTTTGTGCCCTCTATTAAATGCCCTCTTCGCTCATATTAAAGGCATGCTGATAGAGGAAAGATGGGCAAAAACGCTGTCATATGCATCCTGCTGGATGCTACTCTTGGAAGGACGACCATCATTCTAGCACGGCAAGTGCCGACCGGAGCGACAATGAAAGGCAGGCAGAGGCATTTGGGGGAGGCTGGGAGATTTTCAAGGGGGGGAAAAGAATTAATTTCAAACCGAAGGCAGCCAGCCGAAGCGAGGGGAGGAGCCCGCTATGGGCTTCGCTGTTCCCTGGGCCGAGCCCGGCGGCGCGGCAGCGCTTGGCAAAGTGGCAGCCGGCTCCGGGGCCGCTCGGCGCCGAGCCCAGCGCGGCTGCGGGCCCCGCGCCCCGCCGGCCGGAGCAGCCAGCCCCGGGCCGGGCCGTGCCGTGCCGTGCCGTGCCGTGCCAGTGCCCAGCCGGGGCTGTCCCACCGCCCGGGCCGGGTCCTGCCCCGCGGCCGCGCCGGAGCAGCGGCTCCGTCCAGGCGCTTCCGGGCGCGCCGGGCGGCGGGGGAAGGAGGAGAAAAGGAGGAGGAGGAGGAAGGGAGGTGTGGGTGGAGGGGAGGGGAGGGAAGGAGGGGTGGAGGGAGGCCGGCTTTTTTAGGAGGGAGACCCTCCTTCGCGGCCGCCCGCTTGCAGCCATGGCTTTGAAGGAGGCGGGCGGCAGCATCCTGCCCATCAGCGACATGGTGTCGGGGCCGTCGGGCTCGCCGTTCCCCGAGGTGGTGGAGCTGAACGTGGGGGGCCAGGTGTACGTGACGAGGCACTCCACGCTGCTCAGCGTCCCGGACAGCACGCTGGCCACCATGTTCTCCCCGTGCCGGGGCGGCCCCGCGGCGGCCCGCCAGCTGCCCAGGGACAGCCGGGCGCGCTTCTTCATCGACCGCGACGGCTTCCTCTTCAGGTACGTGCTGGATTACCTGCGGGACAAGCAGCTGGCGCTGCCCGAGCACTTCCCCGAGAAGGAGCGGCTCCTGCGGGAGGCCGAGTACTTCCAGCTAGGCGACCTGGTGAAGCTGCTGTCGCCCAAGGTCACCAAGCAGAGCTCTCTCAACGACGAGGGCTGCCAGAGCGACCTGGAGGATAGCAACTCGCAGGGCAGCAGCGACCGGCTTCAGCGGGCGGCGCTGGACAAGCGCTCGGGCTTCCTCACCGTGGGCTACCGCGGCTCCTACACCACGGTGCGGGACAACCAGGCGGACGCCAAGTTCCGCCGCGTCGCCCGCATCATGGTGTGCGGCAGGATTGCCCTGGCCAAGGAGGTCTTCGGAGAGACCCTCAACGAGAGCCGTGACCCCGACCGGCCCCCCGAGAAGTACACCTCCCGCTTCTACCTCAAATTCACCTACCTGGAGCAAGCCTTTGACCGGCTCTCCGAGGCGGGCTTCCACATGGTGGCTTGCAACTCCACGGGCACCGCCGCCTTCATCAACCAGTACAGGGACGACAAGATCTGGAGCAGCTACACAGAGTACATCTTCTTCAGTAAGTGCTGCCCGCGCCCCAGTGCCGTGCCCCTCGCCCTCGTCCCCGGCGGGTGCTCCTTAAGTTCAGCTGCACCCCCAGAGCACCCGCCGTCCCAAAGCAACATGTAGCTGGAGAGAAATGGGCGCTGCCCCGTCTCCCCTCGCTGCGCTCTGTCACCGCCATAGTTCAAATTTCATTTTGTGCGCGGTGGGGGGCGGAACAGGACTGCCTAAATTGCCCCGTCCGGAGCGCGGCGTGGGAGCGTTTGCACACTCCGTGGGGCAGCGTGGGCTGATCTCGCTTCTCAGTGCCGAGGGGCAGCCCCCGCGTGTCGGGGTGTCCCGGGGAAGGGTCGCTGGTCACGGGTCGGGGGGCTGTGACCTCGGGGGGGGTGTGGGGGTGTCCCTGCCCATCAGGGCGGGCGCGGTTGCGGTGTTCCCGGCAGCGAGGCGACGCAGAGATCCCCGAGCAAGGAAGGGCTTTAATATTTTATCTCTGCGTTTCCTTCAAGTGAGCGCACTGCGCCTCGGCACGGTCCCCGTGAGGGAAGGGGCAGCGAGGGCACAGCCAACTTTCCAAGGAGCGAGAAAGAGTCTGGCTCCAAGGTGGACGAAAATTGGAAAAGAGACATTAACCACTCCATAGCCATTACACAGCTCGTAAGCAACTTCGCTGGCTGGCTGTGGGTAGCCTTAGAGGTTTCGGGTCACTCGCAGATAGGAAAACCGAGCGATGACGAATGAGTTGCAATCTGGCAAAGTATGTAGTGCTATGTAGGGCACTGGCCGAACAGCGGGTTCGGGTCATGAAATTGCAGCTGGATCGAGAACACCATCCCCTGGCAGAGATTTGTCTTGGAAAGGCAGAGGCAGCCTTAAACATTACAGATGTGTTTGAGAGTCGAGCGAGCCGGCAGAAGAGAGATGTGTTCTGCATTCACTTCTCCCTTCTGCTGCCTCTGTGTGGTCTCACGCTCCCTGAGCGAAGAGGGATGGATTGGCAGAGCACCTGCCTGTCTCTGGTGAGGTGCGAGATGCAGCCTCTGACTAACTTCACTGGCTAGGCAGCTGAACAGCCGCAACTTGTTTGCCCTGCAAAACTGGACTTAGGCACGGTGTTTAACAAAGGAGGGAAATGTGAATGGTTTTCTGCTGGGAGGAGAAATTCATGAGTTTATACAGCTCTGTGTTGTGTAGGTGGTGACTTCCATTTGCTGAGCCGGCTTGAGTACTCAGATCAATCTTTGAAACTGGATTAAAACAGTTTTTGAAGATTAATTGCATAACCTATCACTGGTCATATTTCAATGGGATATGTGAAAACTGAGCTCTAGAGGAGCTTCATATTCTCCTGGGTGGAATTCTGTCAAGTATTTTACATGATTATTAAACCTTCTTTCTCAGAAAATTTGACATAATTTTCTAAATAATAAATTTCCTTGAAATAGTATGTACTGTTTGCTTATAAATAGATTTGTAGGTGCATAATTTTTTTCATGAGCATTTGTGATGCTCATAATGTTTTGGTTATTTTTTTGTGTGTGTATGTTACGATGAGGCTGCTGTGTAGAACAGTCCTCTAATTCACATCAGTGTTCCAAATTAATCCCCAGTGTAATACCTCTGATTTATTTGGAATAATGCCAGGGATGAACTGGATGTTGTATGTCATGATTTTTGTTTTGGTTTTGAGTCTTCAAGATTCTGATGTGAAAAGTAAATTTGTTAGTTAATTACTTAAATTTATATAGTTAACTGAAAATTTATGGTTTTGCTTAATTTTTCATGTGGGAGTTTTGTTTTGTTTTACTTATGAATGCAAAAATATGACTAAGGTAAAAATAGGCTGAAAAGGTGTTGGGCATATTTTAATTTTGGTTGCTTGTTATGCATTTAGAATCTTTTTTGTATAACGACTTTATACATTGTTTTATGATCAGATACATTTCTCTGAAATATAGCAAGATTGAAACAACACTAAAGAAAATCACCAAACTGGGAAGAGAAACATGTGAAACAATGTCTGAAGTAAATGCTTTCATTTTTTTCTTGTCTTTTTGTTTTTGGTCTTACTAGATGTCCAATTGAGGGAGACAGTTGATAAAACAACACTTTATTATAATAATAATTCTAATATGCCCTGTATGGATTGTGTGTGTGCTGCTGCCTTGCCTGACAGCTGCACAAGAATCCAGCAAAGGGAGAGTGAGCCTTGGAAGCCTTGTGCTCTGCACCAGGAGTGACAAGAGGGATCAGAGCTAAGAGCTCTCCAGCAGCCTTAGCCAGGGCCACGTTCCTTCCTTGCTCATGAGCAGAGCTTAATACGCAAGAAGAAGAGCAGTTGCTTTTCAATTCATTCTTTGCCAAATGTCCCCATGAGCCCTGAAGAGGAAGCAGTTCTAGATGGGAAGTTGCTGATTTCAAGAGCTCTCATGTCCAGCCCTGGGTTGTGTTTTACAGGCGACAAAATATCAAGATGAAAGACTTTAGGGAGCCTATTCCAGTTTTGGACAGTGTTCAAGGCTTAATTTGGTGCTAGCAAAGAAGAAACCCAGTTTTATATCCCACTGGAAAAAGCTGTACCTGCATTTGCATTTGTTATTCACAGCATGAGCAGCTGCGACCAACAGCAACTGTATTATTTGTTGGTCTGTAAGTCCATAGCAGTCATGTAAACTTATTTTTCACCATTTCTCCTGAGGACTGTGGACAGTTCCGTTTCCTAGTAATGGTAGATAGTAAAGTGATTGGAAACATACATGAGGATATATTCATTCTCTTTGTTTTCTGGGGCCATAAGTAGCTGAATGAGTTTCTACCCAAGAGCTACTAAAGAAAGACAAAAGTTTTATCTGTGGCTTGTGAAGCATATTTCAGGTCTGTTTCTAGGATCTTTCAGACTTTGGTAGTTGAAATTATCATTTATCACTTTTCTAAAAAAAAGAAATTACTATATATTCTTAAACATTCTAGAAGATCAAACTCACCTGGGAAACTGCATATGCATTAAACTCATTTATGAACTGCTTAATATCTAGGGATAGATGCAGACTAATTCTGATTGAGGCACCAGAGGTTATTTGACACTGCTTACCAGGAAATAACGATTCAGCCTTTGGCAATGTGTCATGACAAATACAAAACCAAATTTCCTTCTTAGTATGTATAAATCCTATAAAAAGAAAAATTAAGTTCTTTGCCCCTAGTGGTGTTTGAGCTATCATGTATGCAATGACAGATTCATTTGTCTACACAGTTAGTACATGGCCCGAATTTAGCCTGTACCTTGCACTGGTGGCTCAGTTCTGGAAAGTGCTCATAGATCTGTTCCACATGTCCATTACAAATCCTGTCTCTGTCTCTTAATGGTCAGCTATAGGAGTAAACTTCTGTATGGTAGTGAAAGGCTCTATCAGAGAATACCACAAACTGGTTTTTTTTGGCTCCATGCTCCACTCTCACCTTATTACACATGAGGATGATTTGGGTCAGGTAACATGAGATACATAAGCAGTTTGGGAAGGATGCTCAAACTCTTCTGCTGCTTAGTTTCACACTGCCATAGAGGATGACAGATTAATTAATTACCTGTTGATTTACAGTAGGTCATGGCCATCACAAAAGTTGCCTCTTACTGGAGACAGGAGACCTTGCTCCTTCCTGTGGCTGCAAGCACTGTAACATCATCTGTTAGCTTACATCTTTGTGAGAAAAGGGTGAAATTTACATGTTTAAAGTTTTGGAGGGGATTTTTCTTGTGGTTCATGTTATCTCTCAGTACTGTTGTGTAATGCAAGATTGCCTGTGCATGCTATTACTAGTTTTTTTTTTCTTCTGTAGAATCTAATTAGTCCTAATGGATTTTGCTTTTAACATCTGCTATGCAATGTGACTTAGGGGTGTTGAGAGTATTGTGCTCAGCTGAAAGCTTACTGTGCTGAACTGACATCTTTATTGTAAGAAGAATACAGTAATATTTCCTGAAAATTTTGACATGCTTTCTATGTTGACACTCCTGTTTCATATATGACAGTTTCTGTTTTCCTTTTCTCTTGTTTTTGTTTTATAACAGGTGACATTAGCATGGATTTATGGTGCTTATTTTCCACTTGAAGTCACAGCACTTTGCGATTACAGTGGATGCTGTGGAAATTGTCATAAACAAGTGATAATAATTTTGTAATCAGATGGGGAATAAGCGGTTGGAAGAAATGAATTTTTAGGAGGCAGTATGGTATTTTGAAAAAAAAAAAACAACCCAAACTCAAACAAAATGATAGCAGCAACCCCCCCCCCAAAAAAAAAAACCCACCCAACAACAACAATGAAACCTAACCAACATTGATTGTATCATTGCAGGTAAAATACCTTGAGGTGTTGTAAGTGCCAAATCCAGTTCTGCATCCCACTGGGGTAGTGAGGGGTTGGTGAGTTGGCACATAACCCTAAACTGTTCTTCCGAGGGCAGAGTGGTGTGAGAGCCATCCTGCACATGGTTACTGTGACTGTGTCAAGCTCTTCTCCACCCATCACTGCACCTTTGGTGGAGTTTTTTTAATCTGGAATAAATATATGTAAGACCTTGAGGAGAAAAAGGAGACCAAGGAAGTTACATCTCTGTGACACATGGAGATAAACTGGGACAATTTACTTTGAACCTCAACCACAGCATCAAAGATTAAAGATTTTTAGTGAGGTGATGTGAAGAATTAAATCAGTATCACAAGCACAGTGTAAAAAAGCTTCAGATTTCTAACAGTTTCAAGAACTATAATGTTGTTTTTGACAGGACTATTGAGCAAAGCCCTTTAAAGAGAGATTTTGTAGGCAGTCCTTTGACTTTGGAAAACTGGTGCAGAACTTTAGGATGTTCTGTTTTATAATTTCAGTTCAACTCTTAATACAGCTTAAAATTAAGTAAATAATAGAGTGCTTCTTATCTTGTCATTCTTCCAAAAATATATGTTC